CTGTGTTCTTCCAGTTCACACACACACACACACACACACTATGTTCTTCCAGTACACACACACACACACATCCTGTGTTCTTCCAGTTCACGCACACACACACGCCCTGTGTTCTCGCCACGACCAGGACTTAACTCTGCAGCCATGTGGGATCCTGGCACCTTAATCATCACGCCACAAGATTATAATTCCCCACGTGGCTTGCATTTCTATTTGAGGCCAGGGACGCGGGTTAAGGAACCCGAAGCTAGAGGGCGCACTCGAACGTCATACAGGTGGGCAAGGCAGGCCCTCCCAAGAGGAGGTATGTGAGCAGAGACCTGGGGGATGAGAGCGAGCCCCGAGGCCGGAGGGTACGGTTCCCAGGAGGGCGTGCTGAGTGCAGAGGCCCCCCGGCAGGGAAGCACGTGAGGGATGAGGGGCTGCCTCACCTGTGGCCAGTCCAGGAGTCCGGCTGTCATCTGCCCTGTCTGGTTACAGTCATCATCGATGGCCTGCGTGGGGGACAGGAGAGCGCATGGTGAGGGACGGGGCCTCTCGTGGCCGCTGGGCCTCTGGCTAGAACAGGGTCCCCGACTTGCATTAGTGGGGCGATGGCAAATATTTCAGGCCTTGCTGACTTTTCAGTCAACTCTGCCCTCGCAGCACAAGAGTGTGTAAATAAGTGTGTGTGGCGGCGTTCCAGTAAAACTGTTCACAGAATCGGGTGGCCACGGTCCGAGTTTGCTGACTCTTGGTCTAGAACAATCCGCTACTTGGGCCCAGGGATAAGCAGGCACCTGTCCAGGTGTGTGGGGTGCCCTGGCAGCCCCAGTCACCAAACCCTTGCCCCCTTCCCTGTATGACTGCTCAGAAGCCTCCCATGAGGCAGGCCCTGGGGAGTGGGCCACAGGGTCTGAACCAATGAGAACACTCTAGCCCTGCCCCTGGTGATTGGCTCAGAGATGAGCACATGACTCGAGCTGGGCCAGTAAGGAGTTGGCCCTGGGGCTTTGCTGGGGCTTGGGAAAGGCCCTCTTCCCAGGTCACTAGGCTGACGAACCTAGTGACCCATCTCCTGAGCCTGCAGAGGGACAGCGAGGCCAAGAGAGAGGAGCAGAGCCTGCGGGTCACGTGTGCCTGATCAAGCCGTGCCTGAAGCTCATTTGAAGTGAGCTAATGAATTCGCTCTCTGGCTAAAGCCAGTACGAGTTGTGACGTCTCCCAGCAGCAGGCCCTGGCCGCAGGAACTGTCCCTACCACCCAGGCAGGCAGGACCTCAAGTCTGATCCACCAGCAAATGCAGGGGTTTCCAGAGGCCGTGCTGCCAGCCCTGGGTCCCCGGGACCTGGCGTGAGACCTGCGCCCCCACTCCCCCAGGCCCTCCGGCTCCGGTTCCGTCTTCTCCAGCTGGCCGGCTTCTTCTCTGCCCTCTGCAGGGGGATCTGTGCTCTCTGCTGAAAGTGGCCCAGCTCTGCCGCTGCACCCACGACCCCTTTCTCAGCCTCGTTGCTAATCCCTGCCTCTTCCCCTGTCTGCCTGTGGCTCCTCTCTGTCTGCCTCTGCCCTCCCCTGCCTCTTCCCCTCTCCGCCTGTGGCTCCTCTCCACCCGCCTCTGCACTCCCCTGGCTGAAGCCATTCAGTGAGCCCAGGGCACTCCTGCCTCAGCTGGAAGGTGTGCGAGGTGGGGGAGCGGAGGGGGTTCTGGGGCCCTCGCTCCAGCTCACTGTGCAGCTCCTAACCTTCCAGACTCCGGAACCTCATCCCAGTCCACTCTCCAAGTCACTGCACCCAGATGACCCTGACGCTCCCCTGCTCAGGACCCCCATGGCCCCCCAGCGCCCTCCATAAACCTCCAGTCTGTTAAGCCCAGGCCTAGCTCCTGAACCCATGCGGGTGGTCCCCACACAGGCTCACCGCACCACCCCACAAGCGCCCCCTCCTGGTCAGCACTGGGGGCTACACCTACCTGCTTGCCCAGCAGCACCAGGTCCACCTTCTCCTTCTGCGCCAGCTTGGCCAGGACCCGGGACACCTGCAGGGGGCCCAAGCGATCCGCCTCTGCAGCCGTCACCTCCACGTGGATACCTCGGTCTGCGCCCATGGCCAGGGCGGTGCGGATGGTCTCCTGCAAGAGGGCGGGGCCTGTCCCGACTTCCGGCCTGGTGGGGCGGGGAGCCTGACCCAGGCCCTCTTCCCCACCCTGGGCAGTCCAGCCCCAGGCCCTCTTCTCTCAGACCCGGTTGGGGAGTGGCATCCTGTGTCGTCCCCCCCACGTCCCCCAAGGTCCGCACTGCCCTCCCCGCACCGCCCGGCACCTGGCACTGCACAGGGCCGCAGCTGACAGCGATGACCTCCTTCACCAGCTTCTTCTCCTTGAGCCGCACGGCCTCCTCCACCGCGATCTCACAGAAGGGGTTCATGGAGTGCTTCACACCGTCCGTGACCACTCCCGTCTTGTCCGGCTTCACCCGGACCTGCCCGCGGGAGGGGAGAGGCCATCAGGGGACGCAGGAGAGACGGCCAGGCCTGGGGGCCGCCCTCTCCCCGGCCATGGGGGTACCAGTGTTCCAGGAAGGGCAGGGCTTGTCCAGGGTCACAGAGCTCAGGGACAGCCACCTGAGAGTCACTCTCTCACTCTCGCTGACACCGAGCACCAGGGTCATCTGGCACAACTGTCCCCTCCACTGCAGCTCCTTGGGCCTGAAGGGGCATTTCTTTTTTTTTTTTTTTTTTTTTGCCTTAAGGTGTGTGTACTATCAGGAAAGAGACAGAGACAGTGAGAGGCAGAGAGAGAAAGCTCTTCCTGGGGGTTGGCCACGCTCCAGTCCCTTTTCTTTCATTATCCTCCTGAAATCTTGGAGGCGCACACACACATGCCCGGTGTGATTTTGAAGCCGCTGGGTCCGGGACTCGAACCACAGTGAGCCACGTGGGAGTCCAGCAATGTAACCGCTACACTATCTGCTGGCCCCCAAGAGTGTTTCTTAAATGTCTGTAACCGCAGTGCAAGGTGCATTTTACAGCACTCCCACGCGTATCGTAAACACGGGACCAGACGGATGCTCACGCACGCCAGCAGGCCGCCGCCCACGACCCACACCTGGCAGGCTCTCTCCTTCACATGCCAGCCCTGTCCAGGGATTCTGCAGCTCGCCTGCGGTCACGGCCTAGTCTGAAACACTAGCCCTGAAGGCCCCTCTGCCTCACAGGCCGGGGGCTGGCCGTCTGCCCCGTGGCCCTGGGAGGCTCCGGGTCTTGCCCCCTCGGGGACCCTCAGCTACAGCTGAGGCCCCATTAACAGTGCCTGTCTCCCTCTCTCATAGAAAAAAAGAAGTTATACACGGTCCCCAGTCATTCACACGCTTATTCAACAACATGGGAAATACAAAACGCAAAACACGGAAGCCTTGTTTCCTTAAAAACAATAAAGTAACACAAGACATAGTTCTCCTCGTAAGACAATGACCAACTCCCCACCAGCAAAAGGCCTCCCTGTGCTGGTGACCGGTGAGCCCTGGAAGCCCCGCCTGGCTCAACACCCCGTCTTGGTCTGGCTCTGGCTGGGCTTCCCGCCCCAAGCTCCTGACTCCAGAGGGAAGCAGAACCTTCCAGCCCTGGAAACCTGCCAGCTGGCCCATCTTCCCAGGGAAGGCCTTTCAGGCTTGAAGAACACCGCGTAGTGACATTGCCTAAGTCAGGGCACAATGGCTGGGCTGGCTTTTGTTTTGGGTTTAAATACTGGCGTGTTCTTCACTGACGTAGGGGACTCAGCCTGAAGCTCCAGGCTTTCTCCTGGAGGGGCCACGGGCTGATCTTCAGCAGAACAGCCACGACTCTTTCAGGAGCGGCTCCGAGGACACATTTAACAGTCTGGACGCCCCGGGAGGCGGGTCGCTGCCGTTGCCACCCTCATCTTACAGATGGGACAACTGAGGCACGGAGCAGGCCAAGCACCTCACCCTTGGTCACACGGCAGGGAAGCAGCAGGACCCGGCTCTAACTCCAGGCCTGTCTTGGGAGCAGAGAAACCCTGGAGATGCTAAGAGTCCCCAGGCAGTAGGGAGACCAGCCTTATATCCAAGAGGGGTTGTTTTGTTTCATTTCTGACATTTTTCACTTCTTCTGAGAGAGAGTGACACCCCCCCGCCCGGTGTCTCTATGCCACAACCCACCCCTGCCTCAGCTGGCCTGGACGACGGGGACATGCGTGCACCCATCATGCTCAGGGGGGTCCCGGGACACGAACCCAGGAACTTTCCTTCCTATATGGGTCCAGTTGCATTTCGGCTGCACCGCTGTCCAGCTGCCTGGAGGATTTCATATCGTGAGTTCTGATGGCTCTTCCTGAACCCTCGACACAGCTCAGTCTGTCCTCGCGTCTGCCCTACCAGGCCAGTCCCTGCTGGGGCAGTGACAGGGTGGTCCTGGGGGAGGCAGCAGCCCCCGAGTGACCCTGGTGACAAGGGGCTAACATAATGGTGTCCAACCCTTCAGCAAGGAGCTCATCGTGGGCAAATGGAGGTGACATGGGTGTCCTGGCAGCCGGGGACAACTGGCTATGCCTGCCATTCGAAGGGCAGGAGGGATGAGGGGAGGAACCGGACAGGGAAATGCCGGACAGGGAAATGCCGGGCAGTCCCAGTCCCCAGCATGGGTGGCTGGTCAGGTTAGGCCCAGGGAGGGAAATGCATTTTCTGGGCCTGCAGCTTCCATCCTTTGAGGGTCCCCTGTAAGAAAAAGGAATCCTAGGCCAGCCCCATAGCACAGTGGTTGGAGTTGCCGAATCCCACATGACCAATTACGGTTCAAATCCCAGCTCCAGGGGCTTGACGAACACAGCAGACACATGTGTGTGCCCCAAGTCCCAACAGGAAGAGAGACACAGAAGGAATTTCCCTGTGACCACGTCCCGTGGGAGGGTGCGTCTCCACCTCCACTCTGTCTCTGGCAATAGGAAGGGAAAGGAAAACAAGGTGAGGGGATAGGCGGGAAGGGACCCCAAATAATGAACAGAGAATTACCCCAGCATCTCCTGGGGCTCGGCAGAGGCCCTGCAGGGTTGGCTTCATACTTCATGGAAAAAGCGCCCCTGGCCAGGACTGGAACTACTGGGTTGCCAATACCCGTTAACGCCGACACACACACACTCTCTCTCTCTCTCATGTGCGCACCTCACGACCCCGAGCAGAGTGCTTGCTGTGCTCCAGATAAGTGACTGATGGGCTCCGTCCCCACTGCCCCATCCCTGACCACGCTAAGCCCCAGGCAACAGGAGCCTCGTGCCAGGCGCTGCTCCGAGAGCATTACTTAATGTCACTGCAGCCCAGTAAGCGGGCACTATCGCCACCCGCCGCGCAGAGGAGGAGTCAGGCTGAGTAGCTCCCCCAGGTCACACGGCCAGAAGGGGGCCCAGGGAGCCCGGTGTTCTAGGTCAGCAGAGAACATCAGACTAACTCTTCTCCCCTTCCCGGAGCTCCGGTTGCAAAAGTGGGGGGCAAAATAAGTAAGTGACACTGGGGTTATGAAGTGTTAAGTGTATGGGGGGGGGAACACAGCACGGGGGTCTGACTCTGGGGCTCCGTGACCAGGGCAGGCTCACAGAGAAGGTGACGTTTGAGAAAAGACCTGAAGGGAGGGAGGGAGCATGTGATGCTCAAATCCAGGGCTCCTCTGCTAAGGGCCGCCAGTCTGAGCACACGGAGGGGAGGGCAGAGAACTTCCAGCAAGGATCCCAATCCAGGGCAGGGAGGGCTGTCAGAAGAGGCCCAGGGGCTGCAGGAGCCCCGAGTACACACAGGGATGTGGCAGGGGGCTTCCTGGAGGAGGTGATGCCAGAGAATTACTACATTTTTTTTTCTTTTTTCTGGAGAGGTTTTTGCTATAGGGCGCATGTTCTCGCTAGAAACACAGAGAGAGACAGAGAGATAGAAAGCGAGAAATCACCCCCCAGGGGGTGATGGCCACACTGCAATCCCTTCTCTTCCATTCTCCTCTCGGGATCTTGGTAATGCACATGCACCCGGTGTGAGGTTTAAGCCACTGGGCCCTGGACTCAAACTGCAGTTACTAAATGCGAGTACAACAACGTAGCCACTACACTATCTGCTGGTCCCTGAATATATCTTTTTAAGATATAGATCAACACAGAAATTTCTACATTAATTTTCCTAAACATATATATGATCATAGAAGCATTTTCCAATGATTCGAAAACTCATTCTTTCTTGATATTTCTATCACCTTCATTTAACTATTTCTTAGAGTTCTGTAAAACAAATTGTTTACATTAACAATTTTTTAATGGATTATTTAATCAATTTGGTTTATTACTTTGTATTCATTGAATATTTCATGCCACCACCAACTAAGCATACTTTATACATTTTATTTATTGATCTATCAGGTCATTGATGGAACCGTGAAGAATTTAGCAAATAACTTACTGCTTTGTTTGAAAGAGTCAAGTTGTCTGGCCTTTGGGGCTTAACAGAAGATGCGACTTGAACCACGGTTGACTACATAGGAATCCAGCGACATAGCCATTACGCTAACTGCTGGTCCCTGCGAGAATTACTACATTTTGATATGTTCAGTGGGTTGGAGTTAGCAGGACAAGGAACAGGAAGCAGAGCTGGAGGGTGGAGAGCGGGCACCCAGGCAGAAGGGGAGGCAGGGCGGAAGAGACTGGTCTATCGGGACGAGAGAGGTTGGGGCTGTGCACACACCGAGGGTGCCGGAGGGTTCCGGCAGGGATGTGGTGGCTGAACCAGGCCACAGAGGGGAGCTGGACCATGAACACTGTCTACCCCAGGATTTGGGGGGTCCACCCTGGGTGCAGGAAGACCCCAAGGGATGGGTTGGAAGGGAGACACAGGGAGCCGGGGAGGAGGCCGGGACGAGGGTCAGGAGAGAGGACAGGCCCTGCACTGCTCAAGCGTGAGGTCGGAGGAGAGACGGGGGGCCAGGAGGGACGGGCTGGGCACGGACAGGCTGCGGGGGGTGTGAGGGAGGAGGGATGGCCCGGGTCCACCCGTGATCAGGGCCCCGCAGTGTCTGAGGCACTTATTTGTCCTGAAAGGGACGACAGCAGATGAGTCAGCGAGGAGGGGTGTGGAGGGGGCTCGGCACTGTGTGGGGGACACTAGCCCTTTCGGAGGACGGGGGCCGCACGCCTGCCAGCACTGTCCTTTCAGGGAACGCACCGAGGAGCCACGAGCCAGGCTGTGCTGGGCAGGCGATGCTGGACAGAGCTGGGCCAGACGGGGCCTGCCGTGGTGGGGACGGACTCACAGCCCTGACATCTCGGGCCAGGACGACCAGGGCTGGGCCCAGGGAGGAGGCCCGGGGGTGCGAGAGTCCAGAGACGCCCAAGAAGAGCAGCAGACCTCGAGGGGTGGGGGGAGGCAGCAAAAACGGGTGGTCTGTGAGGCTACCCGCACAGGACGGTCCCAGGTCCACGTCTGGAGACAACACACACATGCCCACCACCCAGGGCAGGCTGAGGCTGGGGACAGTTGGGGTGTCAAGGGCCAGTTCTGGGACTCTCCCTTGCTCACTCTTGAACAAAGAAAAAAAAAAGACTGGGGAAACAGCCATCTCCGTGCCCGAGCGCCGTCCAGAGCGGGACTTGCCGGGGCAGGCTGTGACTGTCACTGACTAGCTGGGTGGCCCTGGGTGGGTTCTCACTGTCTCTGACTACCTAGGTGGCCCTGGGTGGGTTGTGACTGTCACTGACTAGCTGGGTGGCCCTGGGTGTGTCCTATCACTGACTAGCTGGGTGACCCTGGGTGGGTTCTGACTGTCTCTGACTAGCTGGGTGACCCTGGGTGTGTCCAGTGTCCTATCACTGACTAGCTGGGTGACCCTGGGTGGGTTCTGACTGTCTCTGTCGATGACCCTCTTGACACCCACGAGCGGACTGTCACTGACTACCTAGGCGACCGTGGGGTAGATTCTGTCACTCACTACCTGGGTGATCTAACAAGTAGGAGAAACTACACTGGCCTCAGTTTTCCCACCTGCAGAGGGACTAGAAATGTAGGGGGCACTGAAAGGACTGCGTGGGCTCGTCTCTGTAAGGGACCCAGAAGACCGCCTGGTGCTCAGTACCTGCCCACTAAGGGTTGTGACCACTGACGGTTCCATGCCCGTCCCCTAGTGGGCAGGCGCCGTATCTGCACCAACCCTGTGGCACTGGTGTCAACTCCCCAAAGCCTGTGGTGCCAGGCCAGGAGCTGGGCAGTGCTGGGGACACTGGGCAGAGCTTCTGTCTGGAGAGGCGTTGCCGCCTTCAGCCCAGAGTACTCCAGGCACTGAGGACTGGCCTGAGGCACTGACTCACCTTTGCCCACACAGCTTGCCTCCAGGGACTGCCCCACAGGGCATGAGCTACTCACCCGCACCCCCAGGCTGGCCCCTTGAACTTTCATCTCCAACCAACACACTCCTCTCCCTTCCTAGCTAGAGCCTCCTCCCTCACCCTGTGGCCATGGATGGTTAAAGACAGCCTCGGGTGTCCCTCCACCCCCACGCCTGACAGGCCCCTCAACCAGGCTGGCACTGCACCAGTCGGCTGGGTAGGCAATGCAGCCCAGAGCGGGGAAGCTCGGCTTGTGTGCAAAGTGCAGTCTGAGTCAGGAAGCAGAGGACCTGGACAGGACTTTCGGCTCTGCCCGTCCCAGCTGGGTGCCCACGCTGTGCCTCAGTTTCTGGGTGTGAAACAAGGGCCAGGATTCCTCCTGTGGGTAAGAACCAGAACTCGCCCTGCACAGTAACCAAGAGAGCGAGTCCAGACTCGCCGGAGAGAAGCGAATAGGACCACAACTCCAGAGTAATCGTGTGTCCGAACCTCACACTCCCTGGTCTTTGCCCCACATGTGACTTTGCTGTACCGGGGAAGACCGGCCCCCAGAGGTCAGCGGCTACAAGAAGGCCCCCATACAGTGTGCGCTCGGGACCCTGGAAGAACACGGCTGCAGGACGCAGGGACGTGGGAGGGGGGGCCCGGTCACCTTCACGGCGTAGTCGATGACCCTCTTGACACCCACGAGCGCGCGCAGCTCCGCCATCTTCCAGCCGCAACCACCTGCGGGGTCAGCCCGCACCCACCGCTTAGCCCAGACGCCCTTACCCGGACCCCTCTCTGCGCCTGCGCGCTGCGTTGCCAGCCAGTCAACTGCCGTAAAGCCCGCCTCTCCGCCCCGATAGGAGACCAATCAGAAGCCTGGAGGGCGGGGAGGTGTGGCAAGTTGATGCGAACCAATGAGAAATGGACCCTGGGGGGAGAGGCGGGACCCGGGGGGGAAGGGAAGGTCTTTGTGAAGGGGGCTGGCGGGGAAGTGGGGAAAAGGTCGCGCAGAGGGAAGAGTGCTGCTCGGTCCCCTTCAAATCCTCCCTGTGTCCCCGGATCTACTCTCCCCCGCCAGCGCCCCTTCTTCCCAGCGTCTCCGAATCGCCGTGCCTGTGTCCCTCCACGCCCACCCCGTGCCATGTTCCCACGCCTCTGAGTTCTCGGCGTCTGTCCTTCCGGTTCTCTCCAGGCCGGCGTTCTGCGTCCCCTCCACATCCGCGTCCTCCCCAGCTTCTGTGTCTACTTTCCCTCCATGTCGCCGCCACCCCCTCTCCATGCGCTCACGTCTCTTCATGGCTACAGTCCCCCGTGTCCTCCCCTCCAAATCCACGCCCCTGACCACTTCATGTTCGTGTCTCCCTGTCCGCGCGTTCCCCGTCTCCACTATCCCCAGGGGTTATGCTCCCATGCCCTCCTTGGGCCTCTATACGCCATGTCTGCCACCCGTGTCCGTTCTAAATGCTCATGTCCCCACGACCGTTCATGCCGCCGTGTGCGCGTCCCCACAAAGGCACACGGTGCCGCAGCGCTGAAAGTCGTTCCTTTATTCTGTCCCAGCCAGGCTGAGGTCACAGGCACACGGGGAACCCACTGATGGCGTCGGTGCTCTGCATGATCATGTCCGCCATCAGAAAGCAGAAGCCTAGTGGGAGGGGAGCGGAGGTCGTGGGGAGGAAGGTGGGTCCTGGGGCCGGTGGCCAGGCGGCCCTGGGGACGGGGGTCTGGGGCTCCAAGGGCGTCTCTGCGGGGTCTGTGGGAGTCGGGAGTGGGGTGTGTTGGGGAGGCCCTGAAAAGTACTGAGGGGGTTTTAAGAGGGCGGCCGAGGAGGGGGTTCTGGGGAGAGGGTCCTCTGGGAAGTGACCTCCACCCTCTTCCCGCTGTGCAGGTTACCCGAGAGAACAGAGAAGGGTAAGGCCAGCCACCCCAAAAAATATGACCAGGAGAAGAAGACGTCGCTCTTCAAGGCATTCTTCGCCGTGTAGCCTGTCAGAGCAATCAGCAGCAGCAGCCCTGGGACCCGCCCGCCCACCAGGTGAGCACCGCCAGGTGAGCACCGCCAGGTGGGGCTGCACCCAGGCCGGGGTCGGACCGAGTCCCGCCAGTGCCCGCCCACCTCCACCCAGCTCCGCCCACCTCCACCCAGCCCCGCCCTGCCCCCTTGTAGCCCTTCCCCCTCCTCGTCAGTCATCTCGGGTCCCGCCCCCTCCTCCAGACCTGCCGCCCATCCCCTCCCCTCTTCTCCCCCGCTCCTCAAGCCCCGCCCTCTGCTCCCTGGGCCCCCTCCGTCTCCCCCAGTGCCACCCTCTGCCTTGGGGGCCTGCTGTATCTCACCGCTGAGGAAGAGGATGGCGCTCGTAGTCTGGCCCCGCAGCGACTCGCCCTGGTGGCACAGAATCCGCAGCCCGATCACCATGCCTACCACGCCAAAGCCGGCGGCCAGCACCATGCACGCCCCGGTCACCGCTAGCATGGCTGCAGAGAGTGGGCTTCATCAGCCCCACGCGGGCGCCGCCCCTGCCGCGGCAGCCTCGGTCGTGTCACAACCAGGAGCTCTCCTGGCCACCACCCACCAACCGGAACCGGCACAGGCCCGGCTCTCCGGACTCAGAGTCTGGCGTTTGGATGGGGACGTGGTCACATGGTGACTGGGGCTGACTGGGGCGGTAGGACAGGGGTTTAGGTGGCCTCATCACAGCGGGGTGGGAGGGGGGATGCAGTGTGGTGTGACTTCCGGGTGGGCGGGGCCTCACTCTGGCAGGGGATGTTGGAGCAGACGCCGTGGTTACACTCCTGCCACAGGCCGCTGTGGCCCCCTTGGTAGCGGGTCCAGTAGTTGGTGGCGGTGCAGAGAACCGTGAAGATGTTGGCCAGGAAGCTGAGCAACGTGCCGGCGCTCTGCAGGCTCCGCTTCACTCCCATGCCCGGAGGCTGCTGCCAAGGCCAGGGCAGGATGGCCGCACCCTCCTGCCAGGAGGCCTTCCCCCCCCATGCCCTGACCTCTGACCTTCTGGGGACCTGAAGACCCCTCCCTCAGATCACCCTGAGCCCCAGGCATCTCCCCCAACAACCCAGCCTGGGCACCATGACCCCTCTCCCCAGGCCCCATTCCCTCCAGCCCCAGGCCTGCTGGGGTCTTTGAAACCTCCCCCTTCAAGGCCCTGAGACCTTCACCCCTGTCAGCCCCTGGCCTGCTGGGGTCTTTGAGATCTCCTCCTTTGAGGCTCCTGAGACCTGCACCCCTGTCTTAGCTGCTTAGAAACCTGTCTTCCCAGGGACCTCCCTCCCCTTAGAATGTCCCTTCAGCCTGTCAAGGGCCCCCACCCTCACCCCAGCACACACCCACCTAAGGACTCACACCCAGCTGCCCAGGGCTGCTTGGATACAGCGCAGGGAGGTGGGGGAGGGGGCTGGGGCTCTGTGAGGCAGCAGGGAGTTCCAGAACCCCCTTCCCCAGTGGCAGTTTAAAGGGATAACCACCCCCAGTGACACACACAACAGACAGCCTCAAGGGTTATAACGTGGTAGACCACGACCTTCTAGAAACTTCCCTCAGCTTCCCCGGCATCCTACAAGCTCTCTTGGTCCCAGCCCTCTGTGCCTTCTTAGGCCCCCAGCCGGCCTGTGCACCTCCTCCCTGCCCTAAGTGCTAGTGTAGCCATGAGGCTCCATCCTGCACCTTTTTACCAGGTGGGTCTGACACTCGGACCCCAAGTGAGGTCAGTGACTTCTACCAGACTTGGGATGGCCCACCATCCCCCAGTTTGTTGAACCACACCTCTGGACACTCCTTTCCCTCTCCCCCTAAAGCCTTGGGTCCCAAGTCCTGTCCCTCCTGCCCTGGAATCTGGCTCGTTCCCTCCTTTCCATCCCAGGCCAGGCCCCAGGTCAGGCCTCATTCTCTCGATCGGTGGTGTTGCAAGCTCCTCCGTACCCTTCTGGCCTCCCCACACGTCTCCAGAGGGTCTTCGTGACACCCAGAGCTGACGCTGCCCGTCCCCTGCTCACGATCGTCTGACTGCCACCACCCTCAGAAGGTGCCCCAGAGCCCGCGTCCGCTGCCTCTCCTTCCTCTTCCCAGCCATGTCCTACGTCCTCCATCCTGGCGTTTCCATGCCTCCGTCCTCGGGTTCCTCTGCACTCTCTCCTTGACCCTGAAGACGCACCTAAATGTGCTCCCCCAGAAAGGTCATCCCATCACTTTGGCCTGAAACTGTGGCCTTCCTCCTGACCGTGAGTGTGGTGGACAGGGCCGGATCTGGCTTCAGGCAGCGTGCCCAGCATGGCCCAGAGAGGAGGAGAGAGGACAGAGTGAGCTGAAGGAGGGCACAGGGAAGAGCAGAAGCAGGAACAGGAAGGGAGGCAGGCACCAGAGAGGGCTATCTGGTGCCGTGGACGCTAAGGTGCTGGACCCCACGTGGCCCACTCTGTGGTTAGAGCCCCGGACCCGTGGCTTGAAAGACGCATCAGGCATGTGTGCCCAAAATCTCCAGAGGAGAGTGGAGGATAGGGAACTGTAGCGTTCCCATACCCCCTGGGGGTGATTTCTCCCCCCGACCCTGCTGCCACCCTGCTACCCTCCCGTCTCTGGCAGGGGCACACACCCTACAGACACCTACTAAAGAAAGAAAAGAAAAGCGCTAGAAAAAAGACACAGGCCTGGGGTGGGGTGGGGCATCCGTGTTAGCAGTGGCCCTCCTACTGGGCAGGAGCACCTTGCAGACAGGCCTGACTGGCTGTCACTCTTCCTGGGTGCTTTACGTCACCCCCATGGAGTTGGCGAATGGTTGACTTACGTCCCAGCTGAATTAAGCTATCTGGTGCCGTGGACGCTAAGGTGCTGGACCCCACGTGGCCCCACTCTGTGGTTAGAGCCCCGGCCCGGTGGCTTGAAAGACGCATCAGGCATGTGTGCCCAAAATCTCCAGAGGAGAGTGGAGGATAGGGAACTGTAGCGTTCCCATACCCCCTGGGGGTGATTTCTCCCCCCGACCCTGCTGCCACCCTGCTACCCTCCCGTCTCTGGCAGGGGCACACACCCTACAGACACCTACTAAAGAAAGAAAAGAAAAGCGCTAGAAAAAAGACACAGGCCTGGGGTGGGGTGGGGCATCCGTGTTAGCAGTGGCCCTCCTACTGGGCAGGAGCACCTTGCAGACAGGCCTGACTGGCTGTCACTCTTCCTGGGTGCTTTACGTCACCCCCATGGAGTTGGCGAATGGTTGACTTATGTCCCAGCTGAATTAATCTCAGCAAAACCGGATCTCAGCACAGTTTTGTTTGATAAATGAAAAAACAAAGGAGGGGCAGGGGAAGGACTGGGGGTGAGGAACAGAGGTGGGGGCAGGCGTTGCCACGGCTCCTGACGCCACCTGGGAGGTCGGAGGTCGGAGGTTGGAGGTCGGGGTTGGTGCTCCAGATCCAGCCTGCTGTTCCTGCTTTCCGCTCACAGGTTTTCGTAGCCAGGTCGGGGGCCATTGCAGTGAGCGCCCAGACTCAGGACACCTAGATGGCCAAGAGCGATGGCCGAGAGCGTTTGAGCACCCGCCCCAGCCCTGCCTCCTCAGGCCCCGGCCCTCCCGAGCTCCCTGGGCGGGCGGGTAGTCACCTGCACACAGTGAGAAGAGAGCGGAGACCCAGCCCAGGTAGAAGGACCAGGAGAAGAAGGTCTGGATCTGGGGGTGGGGAGGCTGGCCCCACCGCTCAGTGGTGTACACCGCCATGGCCACTGTCATGGATAGAGCTGAGGACAAGGACAGACGGCTCAGTCCCTCCGCAGGAACTTGCCAGCCCCCAGTGCCCGCGTCCAGCCCAGAGTCCTTACCTGCAGCAAAGGCCGCAATGGTGGAAACCAGAGGGCCCCGGCCTGGGGCAGACAAAGAGGGGATGCAGGACAGGACCAGGAAGCCCACGGACACCAGGTCCCACAGGGCGGCCAGGATGCAGAAGCTCTGCGTCACGTGGATGTAGCCTGGACCCGGAGGAGACAGGCCTCTTGAGAGCCGGCCCCCCTGCGCTGCCACCCCCCACAGGGCCTGCTCCCCCTTCCCTGCCACTGAGTCCTGAGGCCCGGCTGGCCAGAGGCCTGAGTGAGCTGACGATGAGGGCCCGGCAGCCACAAACCAGAAGTTGGTGCTCAGAGCAACCAGGGAGCTCGTCAGGCCCAGGCAGCCAGCAAGCAGGGCCAGGTTTCGGTAGGGCTCCATGGGGAGGGCACGGGGTTTCTGGGCCCAGAGGAGGAGGGAGCTGCTGATCCAGGCTCTCAGGTCTCTGAGAGGGAGCTGCTGCGTGCCTGGCCTCCTGGGTCCTCAGAGCTCACGCGAGAAGCTAGCAAGAGGGGGCGCGAGCTGTGCTGCTTCGGTGTCGCGCAGTTCCTGGAAGTGGGCTTCCTCCGCGCGCCCTCCCCGTAGATGAAGACACCCTTCCTCATCCTCTCTCTTGCCGCTGGGGGCTCTGAGTGTGGTGGGAGGGCACGGAGGCGTCAGATTATCAGTGGTTTGGGTGTGGTTTAGAACTCGCCTGTCTCAAGGCCATAGCTCCCACCCTCGGAGCCCTCGGCACCAGAGAGGGCTTCCTGGAAGGGGTGAGAAAGAGAGAGAGAGGCCTGGGGGCCCAGGGGGAGAAGTGACCAATCAGGCTAGGGTGTGCATTGAATGGGAGGGGACATGTGGCCAGAGGGACAGCTAGGAGTGTGTCATGCTTTCCTGTGGGTTCTTCACACTTCCATTTGGGGTCTCCACCGAAGGGCGGGGCTGGAGGAAGAGGAGCTGGGAGTCTATTCACTCCAGGTCCTGAGGGAGGAAGGGCCGGAGGAGCTCAGACCCCAGGGTCTCTGGCTGCAGCGTACGCCCAGGACGGGTCCACAGTGGAGTAGGCTAGGTCTGGGGGGAAGCCCTGCCCACATCCTCTTCTAAGTGAGTTCAGGGGCAGCTGTGCTCAGGGTGGGACCCCAGCCTGGTGGGCTGCATCGCCAGGAGCAGGGTGCCTAGGGGTTGGTGGTGGGGACAGCAGGCCGACATCAGGCCCCTCCAGCCAGGTCCTGGCACGCCTCGCCTGTAAGCAGAGATAAGCCGAGGTGCCACAGCCCAGGTAGAAGGCCCAGGAAACGCTGACCGTGACGCAGGAGACGGCCGAGAGGAGGACCCCTGTTGTGAGGGCGGCAGTCCCAGACTGCTGGCAGAGGAAGAGACCCGCGTGTCCAGGCGGCACGTCCTCTCCTTTCCTGGGGACTCCAACGTGCAGGCCCCCATCCCAGACCCTCACGAGCGAGGGAACAGGCCACCCCTGTTCACGTTCACGAGGACCGGCCCCCCTGGGCAGACGAAGGACATGAGGGGCAGGGGTGTCAGCCCAGACACGGTCAGACGGGCTTCAGCAAGTCCGCAGCACCTGTCTCTGACCTGACCCCAGCCCTGACCTCAGCTCTAAGCCCGAACTCGAGTCCATTCCCAAATCCGATCTCAGGCCCAGTTACGATCGCGAACCCTCCCCACCCCAACCCTGGACAACCTCGCTCTCATTCCCAAGCCCAATCCCATCTCTAACTCCAATCTCAGCCCCAGCTCTGACCCCTAATTTAACCCCATTCACATCCTCAAATCTAACTTCATCCTCATTCCCAAACCCAACCCCAAAATCCCATCCCCAAACTGACCCCAATTCCCATTCCTTGACGCAGTCCTACCCCTAAGCCCAGTCTCAAATTCAGTTCCAAGGCCCCCTTTAACCCCATTCCATCCTCAAATCTAACTCCATTCCCATTCCCAAACCCAGCAGTAATTCAACCTCATCCCAGCCTCGAACTCACCTCTGTCCCCAAACAGCCCCATCCTCGCCCCAAGCAACCCTCTCCTCGTTCCCACCTCCAGCCCCACCCCCGCCTGCCCGTTCTTCTCCCAGCGCCCACAGTTCTCCCTGTTCCTGCCCATCTCATTGTCATCCCGCCTCCAGGCTGGAACCCTGGTCAGTGCCCTCCCGCCATCCAGGCCCACGCACGCGGGCACACACAGGTGACCTGTACCTGGCCCCGGCAAGTCTGCACACGGAGGCTTCACGGCCGGCCCTGGGTCCAGGCGCGCCACGCCCTGACACTCACACCTCCAGCTGGGAGGGGCCCACGGGAGCCACCAGGAGGGGTGTGAGGGCAAGGCGGGATGGAGTCGCCGTCAGTGCCACCCCTTCTCAGTGAGATGGCCAGGTTGCCAGAAAGAACACAGGCCTGTTCCGGAGCTTTCCCCCCCAAGAGCTCGCAACCCGCCCATCCACACTGCCCACGCGACTGGGTCCCGGCCTGCTCTTGCTCATAACAGAAAACGCTTGACAGGGCTGACTGTGAGGTTCAAGTCCTGGCCTTGGTGGCTTGAAAAGCATCCTGACAGAGTGGAGAATGGAGACAGGGCTGTGGTGTGATCCCTCCCCTCTGTCGGCGCTTTCTCCCTCTCCCTCTCCCTCTCACTTCCCTGTCAGTGCCCTCCCCATTCAGGTCCACGCGTGGGCACACACCTGTGACCTGGCCCTGGCCCTGGCCAGCCCTCTCTCTGACAAGTCCTCTGGCTTACAAACAAAACGAACCAAGAAAATACCTTAACCCTGGGGATTTAAGGGCGAGAGGTGTATTCATGGTTTGGAGAGGTACGGTCCAGGTGAGGCCATGCAGCGTGGCAGAGGGTGACCCTGTGTGTCTCTCGTTCCCACTCCTTAAAACCCGCCAGGACCTAACCGTGGGGCCTCGACTCCCCTGACCTTGATCCAAATCCCAAAGGCCCCCCCCTTTCAGCCTCATGATTGCACCAACGTTCCACTTTCATCACTCACATTTGGGGGGAACCGTTCCAGCGTTCCTCAGCCCATTCCTGCCTCTCCCAGGTTCCGGACTCCCTGGCAGCCCTGAGCTGCCATGGGACTCCGACATCGCCTTTCTCGGGGACCCCTCTGAGGTCCCGCCTTGCAGAGTCTCTGGCCGGCCTCGAAGCCCACCCCGACCACCCAGACACCAGGTCTCC